AGGGGCCTCCCGGTTTTCAACTATTATTCTCTAGCGGCAATAGTCCAAGGTGTACTCACAGTGTTCTCTGCATTAGACTGTTGCCCGCTAGAGAATAATCGTGGAAAACCATGGACTCTCTAGAGCCGCAAGTAAAAGCTGCAGTTTCAAAAGTGGGGGCATTTCTTTGCGATCAAGAAATTGTATGGATTTTGATTTTTTCGAGTTAAAAATGAAGCTAATGGTGTCGTAAAGTCGGGGCTAACTGCTCCAGATTAGTGTTCAATTGTGGACTGAACTAAAGCATTAAGTGCTGCTGGATGATTCCCATTTGAAATAGTTGCTTTTTCGAGCTTTTGCTTTGTCCGGCGCCTCTAAAGGCGCGGAAGTTTTCAACGATTATTCTCTAGCAGCAATAGTTCAAGGTCTGTTCAAAATGCTCTATGCATTAGACTATTGCTCGCTAGAGAATAATCGTGGAAAACCATGAACTCTCTAGAGTCGCAACTAAAAGCTGCGGTTTCAAAAGGGAGGCATTTCTTCGCGATCTAGAAATTGTGTGGATTTTGATTTTTTTGGGTTAAAAATGAAGCTAATGGTGTAAAGTCGGGGCTAACTGCTCCAGATTAGTGTTCAATTGTGAACTGAACTAAAGCATTAAGTTCTGCTGGATAATTCCCATTCGAAATAGTTGCTTTTTCGAGCTTTTGCTTTGTTCGGCGCCTCTAAACGCGCGGAAGTTTTCAGCGATTATTCTCTATCAGCAATAGTTCAAGGTGTACTTCAAATGCTTTATGCATTAGACTGTTGCCGCTAGAGAATAATCGTGAAAAAGCATGCAACTTCTAGAGTGGAAAGCAGCAGCAGAAAACAGTTTTGTTCCTCATTTAAGACAATTATGCACTGTTTCATTTGCCACCCTGTAAAAACTGTACCTGACGCACAAATTTTTTGCAAAACCACGCACTAACTGAAAAACCATTGCAGCAATTAGCGCTTCAAATCGACATCAATTCGCTCTCTGCTCTCTAAGAATTTATCCAGTTCCAAAGTTAGTCCAACATTGATTTTGTTGAGAAGTTCAGTTGATCAAAGTGCGTTGAGAGGTTTTACTCTGCTTTGTGCCTCTAAAGGCTCGAAGGTTTTAACGATTATTCTCTAGCAACAACAGTCTAATGCATAGGACACTTTGGCTGTTGCTGCTAGAGAATAATCGGTGGAAAAACATGAAGCAATGAAGATGAAAATATTTCGACCCGTCAGTGAATTTTAACATGGCGCCTCAAATAATGACGTCACTGCCAAATGGTTTGGGAGTCACCAGAATTTGAAAATTTTCATTTAGAGTCGCGGTATTTTTCACTCCGCAAATATTCAAACAACACGCTTCCTGGCCCTTTTTCGAATCAAACACGTGCTGACCAGGAAAAATGTCTCAAGCAATGAGATCACTTCATTGATTTACGATTATTATCTAGCAGCAATAGTCAAAGTGTTCAGAACCTTTGACTGTTGCTGCTAGAGAATAACGGCGGAAAACCATGAAGCCTCTAGAGCAGCAATGGCGATCTGCTTAAGTATAACACTGTGAATATTTTCCAATTAATATGCGGGCTTGGGTTGCAGATTTACAAAGGCAACGAGCTGTTTTACTACATCGACGGGTACGACGTTTCGAAAGCCAACTGGATGCGCTTCGTCAATCCGGCCTATTCGAGTGAGACGCAAAACCTGATCGCGTGCCAGTACAAGATGAACATCTACTTCTACACGATCAAACCGATCCTGCCCAATCAGGAGCTGTTGGTTTGGTACTGTAGAGAGTTCGCCGAACGACTGAACTACCCAGGCACGGGCGAGCAGATGCTGCAGCGCTTAAGTAAGTGTTTGAGTGGTTGTGTGAAGGGCGTGGCGCCCCAACGCCATTTTTGGTCTAGGACAACAAGTGCAACAATCCCCTGAAATAATAGTGGGATCGTCGGCGGAGCCTCCAATTAAGGACCCACACTATGAGCATCATCTCACCGCCGCTGAAGGTAGCGTGCGATCAGACGAAGGGTACCACAGCAACGGGTACCACGACGACGGGTTCCAGCCGCCAGAAGACACCAGCGACACTGACTCGGAGTGCAACTACGTGCTGGATTTCAGCAACAAGTCCAAAGCCAAAGACGTTGAGCCGATCGTGGACGAGGCGCTGAAGAACGAGTACCGCAAGGTGAAGATTAAGATCTCCAAAGCGTACAAGACGCATAAAGGTGAGTGTGAGGGGAGTTGCATGGCAATCGGTGGGCTGATTGGGGATGTTGCAGGAGAGAGCGATACGGAGCTGGACAAAAGCCCGGCGCCCCACGAGACTGCAGTACCTGAGCCGGTGGCGGCCGAGCCGCTCCTCGAAGTTCCCCCCACCAGAACGTTCTACGAGAGCGAGTACATGCGSTACACCCCGCCCGTCTCCAGCATCTTGGAGAACATTCTCCTAGGGAACCGCACTGATAGCAACAACAACAGCGACCCCCAGCGGCAGGCGAACCCGATCACGCCCCCGCCGAGTTCACCCACGGAAATGGCCTACTCATACAAGAAGAGCCATCGCTATGGGCCGAAGGCATGCAGCCCGGACTCCTCCCTGTACCCGCCGGAACCCGGCCAGGAGGCGGAGCCTGAGGAAGGGCAGCTCTTCATGACCTCCGAGCACCTGCAGACCATCCAGCCCAACTTCTACACCTCCTATGCGGCGTCGGAGATGCAGACCTACACCGGGCAGCAGGATCGCGGGGCTCCGCCCACCCACCACCTGCTCACGCCCATTGGGCCGTTTGAGGCCGACTGCAAGTCGCCCGGCTCGCTTTCGCTTAGCCCCAACGGACAGTCGCGAGGCTACACCATAATCAGCAACCCCTTGAGTCCGGGGGCGCAGCACCCGCTGAGCCCCAGCGGCCAGTCGCGGGGCTACCGCAGCCTGCCCTATCCGCTGAAGAAAAAGGACGGCAAGATGCACTATGAGTGCAACGTGTGCGCTAAGACTTTCGGCCAGTTATCGAACCTGAAGGTGCACCTGCGCACGCACTCGGGCGAGCGGCCCTTCAAGTGCAACGTGTGCACGAAGTCGTTCACGCAGCTGGCGCACCTGCAGAAGCACCACCTCGTGCACACGGGCGAGCGGCCGCACGAGTGCAACATCTGCAAAAAGCGGTTTTCGTCCACCTCCAATCTGAAGACGCACCTGAGGCTGCACAGCGGCCAGAAGCCCTACGCGTGCGACTTTTGCCCCGCCAAGTTCACGCAGTTCGTGCACCTGAAGCTGCACAAGCGGCTGCACACGAACGAGCGGCCCTACATTTGCCAGGAGTGCGGCAAGAACTACATCAGCGCCTCGGGCCTGCGGACCCATTGGAAAACCACCATTTGCAAGCCGAACAATATCGAAGACGAGCTGCAGGAGACCAACACGCAGAATGGCTTCTATGAGTTCCAGAGCAATGACGGTAAGCGAACTAATTTAATAGGCGTGGAAGCAAGGGCGAATCCATCCAACGATGCGAAAACGAATTCTGTGGCTCGAATGGTTCTTGAGAAACCTCGAAAAAAGCAGCGTTATGTTTAAGTGGATTTTGCAACTCAAAAAAACCACGCAACTCTAAAACTTCTTGAATTCAAGGATTTTTTGTGAAAACTGCCAACATTTCCCCATTCATGGTTCACTTTCTAAAACGGTCATGTATTTCTGTCTAGAATGATGTACAAATGAGCGTTCTTGCTCATTTTGCCTCCGAGAAATGAGCAAAAATGGGACGGAAAGCATGGAATTTTGCCATAATCTTGAACCTAAGTGTTTGATATTCATATTTCACTTTGTGGGTCAAAACTA